CTTGCATCACAGCAGCCCCCACAGTAGATTTGCCCACTCCAAATTGATTCCCGACTGACCGGTAGCTGTCTGGCGTTGCAAGCTTCCACAGGGCTATCGCCACTCGCTTCTCAACTGTGAGGGCTGCTCTCATCTTGGTATTCTGGCATTTCAGGGCAGGGGACAGCAAGTCAAAGTTCCATGAAAGTGCCCTTACGCATGCGAAAGTTCCACAGCCACTGGGAATCATCCCACACCTGCAACACTATGCGGTCCCACCAGTCTGTGCTTGTTTCCCTTGCCCAGAATCGGCGTTTCACGGATAGAACCTGCCCCATTAACAACATGATCTCCAAAGCACTGGGGCCTGCGGTTTGACAGAATTCTGTGTCCATGTCCATGTCCTCATCACGCTTGTCGCTGCGCTGCCGCCGCTGCCTCCTCACCTCGTTTTTCTAGTCCTGGCTCAGCATAAACTCCACGAGAACGCGCGAGGTGTTTACAATGTTCATGACTGCTGTCTTGAGCTGAGCGGGCTCCATGCTTGTCGTGGTATGGAGTCTGCAGTGTTCACCCAGGAAAAAAGGGCGAAACGGTTGTCTGCCGTCCATTGCTTTCATGCAGGGAGGGAGGGAGGGAGGGTTGAGGTTGTACCCAGAACCACCTGCGACAATGTTTTTTGTCCCATCAGACACTGGGATCTCAACCCAGAATTCCAATGGGCGGGGGAGACTGCGGGAACTATGGGATAGCTATGAGATAGCTACCCACAGTGCAACGCTCCAGAAATCGACGCTAGCCCCGGTACATGGACGCACACCGCCGAATTAATGTGCTTAGTGTGGCCGCATACATTCGACTTTATACAATCTGTTTCCCAAATTCGAATTATATAAATTCGGATTAATCCCGTAGTGTAGACATACCCTTAAGAAAAACAACAACAGAGAATTGATGTGTCTATAGTATTGATTAGACAAGACAATATTAAAGAAACGTAAGAAAAATATTGAATCCAATTACTAGAAAAAAAAGCACAAAAAAAAAATCTGTTCAGACTGTTTTTAGAGAAGTCACTAGTTTACTTGGGATATACATTTAACCTTTTTTTAAATTATAAAATTTTAAATTAAAGGGGCTTTTTAAAAAATGGAGCAAAATATGGAATTTCACAGAACACAATTGCATAAGCACACGTCAGTGGCTAGCATTAAAAATATTTTATGAAAAGGATAGTAAATATTTGATATATCTGGAGAATTTCCATTCAGCTTTTAGCCTAATGGGGCTTTATCCTAAAAATCCAAGACCCAAATGCTAAGCTACATATTACTTTTTTAAAATTCATTGAAATTTGTTTCAGTGCTCAGTAACTTCTACTGCAGGACAATTTTTGTTCAGGTGAGTAAACTTCACCTCAGCATCATATAGAGTGTTTCATTCTCTGGGTTTATGCTTCTGCATCTGTCACTTAGCCTACTGTGAACAGCATTATTCAACACTTGCACAGTGGGCTAGCAAAAAAAAAAAAAAATCCAGATTTGGTAAATCTTGCACTAGATTTCAGCACCAGGCCGCACGGAAATTGCAGGATGGATCTTTTCAGTCAGGCCAACTGAGCCAGCTTCTTCAGTTTCCCCACATGTAGATTCCAAGTTGAGCTTTGGCGGGAATATTGTTAGCAAAGGCTGGTATGCTAGAATACATCTGATCTCTTCTAGTATCACTGTAGCAAGCCTTGAAAGGTTTAAACACCAAGCTCTGCTTCCTGGAATTGTGCATTTGGCAAATGAAATGACTTTTCTGCTTGATGTAGTCATGCAACTCTAAACACAACTTGCCAGGGGTTGGGTTGTTGTTGGTGTGGGGGTGTGAGTGTGTAAACACTTAATGGCTAAATTAAATATAAAGTTGCAAAATTCAAGTACCATCATGCACAATGTTGAGCTTTCACCTGCTCTGCTTTATTCATGGAGCATTTGCATTATTGCGGGTATGTCAGGCTACCTCTTTAATGTCACATGGGCAAAAGCTACAATATGCAAAAATCAATAATCAAAGAGATATAGCCCTTCATGTGTGGCATGTGGAGGACGACAGTAAGAAACCAAGCCTTCCACCTGGAGCGGGAACCAATACTGAGGATTTACCAGGAGACTGGAAGGACTGCTAATTACATCTACCTTTACTTACAGAAGGAAATGGGAATGCTACAAGGCCATCTTAATTTAAAAATGGCCCAACAATTTCAGAAGTGCTGTGTAAGTTACATGCACTCAACTCTGTGTGAAGATTGGTGCCTCACCCAGGCCAGGCAGAAGACACACAGGTTACCATTAAATGGCGCACACGTCAGGCTTTTTGGGAGGTAGTGTGCACACACACTGTTCCTGGAGATGCATTGCAATGCTAGGTCATTGCATGGGGGCAGAGGAAGAGGGGAAAGGAAATAGAGCAGGCTCCTACTCCACGCCCCAGTTTCAAAATTCTACTTAATTTAGGCCCTCTACCCAGGGACTATTTCAGATGTTGAGGAAGAACAGATACTATATTTATCTTAAATCACTTCTCAAACTTTTGGCTATTTCAGGTTCTCTGTATTCATACACAGCACTATTGCAAATCCAAAGCAAAACACTGGTTCAAGTATCACTTCTTTCCCCTCAGTGGAGATTGACTATCTGCTGGGGGGGGGGGGAGAAGGGGAGAGAGAGAGAGAATCACATTTTGAGTGAAATCTATTAAAATAGTACCAGCCTTAGTTAGCATGCTTCTACCTGTGTATTCTGGTCTCATGTGCTTTCATGAGAACTTTAGCAGACAGCAAGAATTACTCACCTATTCTTGGCATCACTCATAGCAAGTGAATGCTCCCTTTACATTTCCAGAAAGGCAGGTAGAAACAGCCCTTAACATACTATTACAGACTGGAAAAGACATTTCATTTGAACATGTTTTTATGAACTGACAAGTTATTTTAAAAAACTTCCCTATAGTTAACTGCTGGAATGCTACAGGCCAAAAGCTTTATGCCACATTCTGGCTGGTGTGCAATAGGAACTGTGTAAGCAGACAGATGACCACTACACAAAGCACACAGCCAGCCTTAAATGTAGCACTAGAAAACACTGAAAAACTCCATGCACACAAGCCCGTGAAGAAGAAAAGGGGTAAGGAGAGGAGAAGAGGGTTTAACCTAGAAGCCAAGCAGCCTACCTCATCTCCCAAGATGGGGACATTAAATGAACAGATAAGCACAACTGCTTTGACATGCGGTTATACAATGTGCAGAAACACTTTCCTTTCTTCATAAGCAGCTATCCTCTTGCACTATTTTGGGGTGCCAGAATTGGACCTTGCAAGAGTCTCCGTTCAGTGTTGCGACTTAGTTTGCATATTAAGATTCTATGGCTCATGGCCACAACAGTTTGTTGGGAAAGATTTCTTTGGAATATTAAGTATTTCATAAACTCAGCAAAAAATACACAAAGTGTCTCTGCTCAAAAATTAATGTAAGGTAAGAGGAAGCAGCTTTAATCTCTCACCCATACCCCACCCTCTTTGCTAATAGGCGATTCTAGCTTTGTAAAAGCCAATCCCATAAATTTGCACCTAATGTAGTTATCTGTGGATGAAACAAGTACTAGAATTCCAAACTAAATGGAGGTTGGGACACATTGAGAGAGTAATCTAAAATAGGTTGGAAAGATCTGCACTTAGCTATTTACCCATTAAAATATCTCTATTTAAAACAATGCTACTTTAAAGTTATTCTTTACTACACTTTTTGTCATTAAGAATTTGTTAATGGGAAGTGTTTGAGTCTATAAATGACTAACTGATTTCAGTTTGGAAAAAAACTGACTCTTGGCATCATATTTAAGTCTAGCTGAAGTTTTTAAAAACAATTTAAAAAAAACCCACATACTTTCCTTAAAAATAAATAAAAAACCCCTGCCACTCTCTTACAAAACAGTATTTGGTTAAGGGAAACAGTTAAATTAGAAACTGACCACACTAGTACAAATGACTAGTTCACTTTCATTGTCTGAATAAGTGAAATTCAGAGTAACAGCATACACAAAAGTAAAACTAACTTTTTACATTTTCAGACGTGTGTGGCTACCTCACTATATCTATGGTGCTCATAATGTTTATGTACAATGGATTTCTTTTTTAAAAGGTTTTAAAATTTAGTCCCTTTAATACTGGCCATTGGAAACATCACATTGTTAAAGAATCAATGGGAGCCAAGAAAAACCATGAGCTTTTATTTGTCTCTTTCCACTAATATTTCTGGGTTAGCAAACTTAACTGTATTTTTTTATTTTTGGCAAGGGGACATGGATTAAGGTTTAAGAAAAAAAACAAAATAGCATATGTTGTAATGACACTTCATTTAGTTCATTCTAGTACATACAAGCCACATTAACTGTATTAGGCAATTTTGAACTCTCCTCCCCATTACTAAAATGAGTATCACAGATATATGTTACTAGATACTGGAGCTATCGGGGTTTTTTTAAGTTACATAAAAGAAAGATCAGATCCAAGCTATTTTTAAAGTGATACTGAAAATCTCCCAAACTTCACTGTAATTCAGTTTGTTTTTAAATTGGCTTTCATTTTTAATATTTTAAACATTTCAAAAAAGAGCATTAGTAACTATCTGCAATGTTAAGTGTGGAAAAATCCTTTCCCTATCAATCAGCATGTATTCTCAATGGGCCACAGGCTACACTGGTTGAACAGAAAAGTCTGAATGCAAGATTAAGTTCATTAATGAACTGCAATAGGTTAATATCCACCTCAGTGCATTTAAGATGAATGCATCTAGGATGTACAGAATATGGGTAGAGATGACTGAAAGAAGCAGAGATTAATTTAGAAAACCTCACAATCTGAATTACTACTTGATTGCTTGTTTGTGTGCTTGAAATCAGTTTTCTTAATTGATTATCTCAGCCCTGCAGTAAACATCTTTGAAAAGCTTTAAAGTGTGCACAATAATGGCCACATAATTGTGTTGCACATTTTCCAAGTTTTAATTGACACAAAAGTGAGTCCATTGTACTTAAGACACTACACTGATTTCATTCTATTGCATGTCCTGCTCCAATTACATTTCTTAGAATACAGTATATAGTAAAAGTTTTGTAGCTTTAAAATTAACAAGTGTGTGAAATCTGTAAGTAAAATAAGCAGCAGCAATAATTTTTGGGATTTTATCAAGAGTAGCTAGTTTTAAGTAATAAATACATTCCAAGTTGTGGTATTCACTATTCTCCTAGTTCACTGCTTTACTTGTCAATTCCCTTGTTTTCGGTTAGATATCCTTAAGACTTTCCTGTCAGCCTCACACCAAAAGAGTCTCCTAACTCCAGTCCAGGTGCCCGTCACCCTTCACAGATAAGCAGTGCAATCTGACAAGGAAACTCATCCTGCTGTCATCTGCATGGCAACCTCAAGATTCTCCTGGGGAGCATGTCAGGATGTTTACAGACTTCATGAAACTCTAGGAGAACAGCTGTGCTCTTATCTTCTGTTACCTTGAAGAAAGTGAAAGAGGGAGAGAGGTTATTGCAAGTGGCACAGAAATGACCAATATTAGCTGTGAGAGGCTCATTCTCCTTTACTTCATCCAAATATAACCTGCAACTCTTGCGGTTTAAATTTGCATGGCAAACTGAAGACATAGCAGCTACAGTTTAATAAGAGCCTCACTGAATTAACAGATTTTAATTAAAGTTGGAAGTAAGCAACAATACCACTGAAATATTTTTTGAAGAATGGAGTTGTCATTTTAATGATGAAGAACAGAATGTGATAGCTGGCTAGCTTAGTATTTAAATCTCAAACAATTCACTTTTTGGTGTAGGGATATTTAAAGTTAACCAGAGTCCAGTATAGGAAAAGACCTACCAGGAATTTTTAAGATTCTTATAGTCCATTTTTTCCCCCCTTCTGACCTGTACTTCGCAAAAAAAAAAAAAATAATAATAATTCTAAATAGGAAAAAAGGTTCTTCATGCAATCCAACCCCTTTAACTCTTTGTAAGCATGGGAGTAAGGAATTGCAGCTGTTTAAATTAGCTGATGCATGTTTAACATCTGAGTTTTCAGGTAGAAATGTACATTTCTGATTTGAAAAAAAAAAAAAAGACAAAAAGCAAGAGATGTTTCCTTCCAGCCAATCATACACTGCTCAGAATGGAAATCATAATATAAAAAAAAAAAAAAACAAAAAAACAGAAATGAGTACATTTCATTTCAACTTAAGGGTTAAAACAGAGAGACCCGAGAGGATTGTGAGATACTGCTGTCAAACCAGATTGGCACAGAGTATTCCTCCCACACCATTCTTGCAGGATACCAAAGAGAGTCATTAACACTCCCGATAGTCCAATCCATACCTCTAAGCAGAGGAAGTTATTCATATCCAACTATAGTAATCTAATAGTTGTGATATGTACCTATTTTATTGGCCTTTTAAAGTTAAACTGAGAGCCCCAGAAGCTCTTATTAACAGGTTACCTCAAAGACCATACTGGAACACTTGATTTGCATTTAAAGAGAAACTGTCAATATAATAAGATTCCAGGACTGTTTGTGTGTTTCGCTCTGAAGCCTAGAACGTCTGTGGAATCAGTGTGAAGTATCAAACAGCTACGAACATGGCTGAGAGTTCTTTTTGTTCAGAATATCACGAAGTTCAATCATCACTGGGATTCATAGTCTGTTACCAACCTATTTTTCAATTCTTAGCCATTTCTACTTTACAAATTACACATGTGACAGCAAGGCATGTATTTATGTCATGCCACGAATCCTAGATCATCATCACATTAGAGGTAACAACCAATCACCACCCTTACTCAGATAATTTGCACGTAGCAGTTTCATTGGCTGTATGAGGAAGACTGAACAGATGGATTATTTGGCCCAAGTACCACACTTATGCAACAGCATGCGCTTTCCGCTACTAATATGGAATGAAGTCACAACATTCAAAATGCTGCATTCCTCCCACTCTGACATGAACAGCATGTGCTAAGATTATTAGGCAGAAAGTAAGATTGTGGACCCTGTCATCTGGCCTGCAGTAGTCTTGGGCAGAAGGCTGCATCACTGGGAGGGTTTGTTTGTTTAAAGAAAGAGGCAACATTTAACAAAGTTAAGATTTTACTTAGAAGTCCTTGCAACTTATGCCTGCCATTCTGTTAATTAACTCTGCTGTGAAAAATGTACTGAAATTGTGCTGCAGTATCTTGGCGTGATCAATGGCCTTAAACATTTGCATATCTATTTAACACACACCCTTCCGTTTATCTTGAAGACTGACTGGAGTAAAACTGGTTAAGAATAGGACTGAGCAGTGCAAGTCAGGACATCCTGTTGACAGAAGAGTGGCTGAAAACATTGAGGTCATCCACAAGTTTTTAAACATTTTCCCCTAGAGAAAACAGGTCATCACAAATGGACTTCAGAAGCAATTCAGTCAGGGCCTAGCACTAAAATCCATGATCAGTCCTAACTCACAAACTAATACTGTCAGCATACGGAGTCAGGATCTAGGATTTTAGGGCCTCACATTTACCTTTCTGATGAATAATAGAAAGAGATGTAATACTATGGTTAAGGGTAAAAGACCTTTTTTATAAAACCCTCAGAGTTTAAGTCTAAAAATTGAATTATGAGAAGAAAAATCCACTATAATGATTTAAATAAGTCAATGCTAACATTATCACATTTCCCTGCACTGCTAAAAATGCACCAAAGCCTCCTTCCTGTCAGCATGAGAAACTAAGGGTAGGTCTACACTTACCGCTGGACCCGGAGGTAAGCAATCGATCTTCTGGGATCGATTTATCGCATCTTGTCTAGACGCGATAAATCGATCCTGGAAGTGCTCGCCGTCGACGCCGGTACTCCAGCTCGGCAAGAGGAGTACACGGCATCGACAGGGGAGCCTGCCTGCTGCATCTGGACTCGCGGTAAGTTCGAACTAAGGTACTTCGAATTCAGCTACGTTATTAATGTAGCTGAATTTGCGTACCTTAGTTCGAAATGGGGGGTTAGTGTGGACCAGGCCTAAAAGTGAAACTGACCTGCCTGTCCAAGGTGACTGAAAAACAAAAACACAAAAAACCCCACAGCCCTTAAACATGATAAAAAGCTAGAAATTCAGTATTTTAATAATTTACAATCTTATTAGTGACAGGAAATTTGTTTTTAAGTCACTTCCTTTGACATTCCTATGAAACTCTTATGCTAAAGCACCTTTATATTGAAGCAAAGTCTGTATTCAGAAATTTCTTGTACACTTTCAAAACTCAGCTACTTCAAAGAAGAGCCTCAAAAAAAAAAAAAAAAACAAACCCAAAACACAAACTGACTGAAAACAATTATTTTATCAAGCATATTAGGGCCTGGAAGTTATCTGCAATGTGTGATTTGCGCCTTTGAAACAAACAAACAAAAAATAGGTGGAATTTTGAAAGATACCTACATCATTTCAGCATTTACTGTTTGCCTTAAAGAAATAATTCTGCAAACTTGTTCAGATTGTACATTCCCAAGCTATGCTCATAAAGAAACTTAGTTATTTTGTGGTATGGGAAGAAATATTAAGTACATAGCAACTGACCATTTCTGGTTTGAATTTTTGAAGCATTACTAACAAAAACCCACAAAAACCTAGATAGTTTTGTTGGAAGATTTAACCTTATGACAACAACCGTTTCCCCTCATCCCACCTTTTCTTTTCACTGAATATGTACATAACTCAGCCTGCCCTGTGTGTTCTTTAATGAAATTGCTTCAAGACCAAGATCAAAGACAATCTTCTCACAACAGAAATTTGATAGGACTGCACAACTGCAAGTTGGCTTTTACAACAGCTTTGATAAAAACACTGTGTCCCTAAAGGTGAATGCTTATAACTTCTCTTCACATTAACCTACAGTTCTGGTGCCACTACAAACCAGCACCTAATAACCTTGAATATAGGAGCTCATGGCTCAAATAGAAAGATGAAGCTTCTTAAAAGTAAGAGAGCACAAACAGCTATTTTAATAGACTACCAGATAGATTCAGCAGTTTTCAAGTGCAGTTCATTTGACTAGTGAAGGAATATTTATCAGATGAATGAAGAGAGGCTTACCTGGTTACTCTCAAGCTTCAGATGGCTAGTACCATAAAATACCTCAAAATAAAACTAAGTTTGAGATTCTGTAAATTGCTAAGTCCCCGATGATTTATTGATTCAAGTCAACAGCATGAGAGGCAGCATGGTCAGTGGCTAGGGCTACAGCTAGAGATGTTTGGAACAATCCAGGTGGCAGAGGAAGAGGAGCCCCACTTACAGGGATGCTGGAACAATTGGTACAGTGGGGGTGCTGAGAGCCATTGAACCAAACTGTAAATGTAAACCCTGTATATGATGGGAACCACTTCAAGCCAGGAGTGTTGTAGCACCTCAGGTTCCAGCCCCTATGCCCACTTAATGCAGCTGGTGAATCCTGTTGCAGGCTTGTTGTATATGACTAGCCATTTTGTATCTGCTGCAACTATATAAGTCCCCTTGATAAAAATAAAACACACACCCATGATTTAAATGTGCCACTCTGTCTTCTGCTTAGTCTGGTCCTGCCTTGCGTCTGGGTGGTGGATGTTATACCACTGTGTTATTAAACCTGCTTAAGACATTTCTCCCCAGGGAAAAAGTCAAACACAGTAGTTGGGTCAGCATTATGTTCTCAGAAGTCATTTGGCATTTTAATATATTATATACTTTGATGCCTTAAGAAAAGACACCATTCCCCACACTAATTCTATTTCACAAAGAAATATCAGGTACCACATAGCTGGATGGAATCCAAAAGTTAAAACTAGCACTAATATTTAAAGGCCAAGATTTTTATTTTATTTATTTTTGAAGCAACAAGTTGGGCACTCAGAATCACTAAAGACAATTTCAGATGATCTGATTTTCAGGAAGTGATGAACTATCAGGCCCCTTTGATAGAGCAGGGAAACCTTAAAAAAAAAATCACTAGTGTGGGTCACTCTTTTCCTCTTTTGATTCATCAAGTGTGCATTGGAAAATATCAATAGGTTATAAAGCAGAATAATAAAACAAACCAAGTAAAAGAGGAAAGATTTTTCAGACTTCAACCAAACACAAAGTAGCAATAAATTTGCGTTTCATGCCAATTTAGACATCGTGGATCATTATCTGAGAAAAGTTCAGTGTTGCCAACCTCAAGCACTGAAAAACTCATTCTTCAATCCTTAAAATAAAATAATTAGATTTGCTTAAAAATAGAGATTTTTTTTTTAAAAAAAAAAAGCTCATTGGATTCTTTATGTTCACTGGATTTTTAGCCTTTAGGGTACACACTGTTCACATTTTCAAGATTTTCTCCATAATCACGAGGGCTATTTTTTTTTAAATAAATTGAAGCAGAGATCCTCCCCAGTCACTTGATTTTAGGAGCCGGAGCTTTGAGACGGACAACAAATATCACAAGAGTTGGAAACATTGAGT